TAGGATTTTATGTTCAGTCTTGCCATCAGGTGGGATTTCTTGTTCAAGTACTGCCTGTAGTTTTCGGATGTATTCCATGGCGCCTCTCAGAGTATCCACCTGAAAACTGGAAATTATAAACCGCATGGATTGGACGGGATACGGAAATTAGCCGGTCTCAGGGCATCTGCCGGAAACAAAGCTTTTTCTGTCTTATTTTCCCCCTTATTTTCTTGAATTTCCCTGCTTTAAGTATATTCAAAGGACCCGCCTAAACCATGGCCAAAGAACTACTGATTACAGATGAGATACAACCAACACTATTAAACAAGATCTGGCGCTGTTCGGCTGGAGGGGCATTTTGCAATTACTTTGGTGACACCTATAAACTCCTGTGAAGCTGTGAAATTACTCGAATGAGCCATTTCGGTTACAGGAGTTTACAGGTTTCAACAAGGTAGCCTGTATGAGCTTTTCTGAGAACCGTTCGACTGTCCCCTCCGAGTCGCACTGCGCTCACAACCCAGTAAAATATTCGGCAGTAGACCTTAGATAGTTTCTTTTCGTGCGTGTTGTTCGGCAGCCTTTGTCGGAGATAGTCGAAACCGCGATTGATGCTAAAAAAACGTCATAGTTTATTTGTCTCAGCCTTATTTATTTATGCACTTTATATTACTCATAACTTTATGAGCAGTTGTAGTTTTTACCTATTCATCCTCTTCCTCTCTCGTTCATTCGCTGCAATTCTTTGTCTACCACTGATTTCGTTTCGTCGTCTTTTATAAATTCGATCGTCCCCATCGGAGTAGCAAGGTGACTGTTGGCAGTAGTTGTACGGTGGCGGTATGTTGTACATGTAATTCTGAATAAGTGGCCCGCTGATCAATACTGTAAATGGAGATTGAAAATTGAGAAGAGTAATTGAATAAGAGTGAGTAATTACGGCAGACGAGCTGGGTTGATGAGAATTATCGAGAGGCTGTCGCCATAATGCAAAATCGGTTTCTCGGTAGATTTTCAGTGCTTCAAAAAGAATTACTTGTGATTTAACGGCATTTTCAATGGTTATTTAGCAAACAGTAGAATAATGAATGTGCAATGCCTTCTAGAACCGTTTAAGGGGCTGGGTTCAAGGTACTAGTCTAGTTTTCGTTCGCTAGTTCCTTTTGTTAGTTTATGTTAACTGACAGGTCTCACTTAGGTTAGACCTGCCGACTCCTGTGAAGCTGCGAAATTGTTCTAGTGAGCATTGTTGGTCACGAGAGTTCACAGGTCTCCAAGGGCGCCTGGCACAAGCTGACCGAGTACGCTTTGGTGCCTCCCTCTATGCCGAAACTGCAATCATTTTATTAAGCTAAATGTGGCCGTATAAGCACGGACAGCACAAGTATGATAGGAGCGCAATATAAGCAGCGAGAAAAAGCAACCGGGAAAAAGTAAGTAAAAATTGTCGGTGAATTATTTGAAAGCAGAAAAAAACTTGTGAAAGAATGCTCGACAACAAAAGGCCAGTTTACATGCTAAGCTTTTCTTTTGTTTCTTTTTTTTTCTCCTTTTTCGCGCGGCTGAGATGACGGCAAAAGGAAATGATCCTGCGTAATGAATGAGGAGCTTCTCAGTTCTCAATAACGGAAGACTGAAGAATAGTGATCAAATTCGATGTGTTTAGTTTTAAAATCAACTGTCAGTCAAAGTTTATGAATTTAATGGAATAACAAAGGAATAAAAGCCAGCGAAGAGCGAAGAGAGCTAGCATAAAGCCAGTATTGGGCCAAAAATGAATTCGATAAAAAACGCTGCCGGCGTCGAAAGACTGAAATAGTGCTGATAAGGGCAATATCACTGCGTGCCGACGATGCTCAGTAAAGCCGATTGTGTGAGCTTCAAGCATTTGATAGGCCAACAGTGAACGGATCAGCTTCTGGCTGACCACCAAACAGGATGCAACACTATTGGGGAATCCCAACGAAGGGCCAGGGCCATAGTCGGCTGGTGAGGAGGTGGGGAGGGGAAAGAGCGTGGGATTATAATCGCATGATCTTCAGAGTAATGTTTTCAAAGGGAATTTTTTTCTTTTTTGCTATTTCCCGTTTTAAATAGCGCTCTCAGTGTTGGCGACAAAATACTGGGAAGTATACCAGTAGTACTGTAAAGGTTGAAATGTGGAGATCTGCTCATCTATGATAGTTATGGGCTCGGCAAATTCATGAACAAAGCGCTGAGAAGTTAGCTTATAAAGAAAATAACTTCCAAGTAGAGCTCATAAATGACCAGGCGTGAACCACTAATTGGGTGGGCAGCGGAAGTAGAGGTGTGTCCTCATTACGGTAGCAGGCAAGGCTGTGCGTGTGCGCAATGAAGAGTGTGTGTGGTAGCAGCGAAGCAGATGTGTTGGGTGATCATTATGTGCGTAAGAGATTACAACCAGCCAGCACCCCATTATAGAATCGGATTCGATTACATGACAATACGGCAAGCAGTGTTTGAAAAACAGACTCTAGGTGTTTAATGAGGAACTGGACCTGGGTTGACAGTTCTAAGACTGTGGAGCTGAACTTGGAAATACCGAAATTAGGTGGGCAAAGCGACAACGGAAGTGTTAATTGAGTGGTCCACCATAGAGGTAAAGGGTGAAGCTTCCAAGTAGGGTCGTGAATCCCACTTCCATTCGGAGTGTAATTTTGATTGTGGAGTGACCTGCAGTTGAAAATACCGTGTTTAAGTAAAGTGTAAAAGTCAGTTCAGAGGTCATTTAATTAAGATAGCTGCTGTTTGATGCCGCTGTTCGCGCTCCAAAAGTCACCACGAGAATACTGGCACTCGCCCGCGATGTGCGGGTTTGTGTCCCGCCTGGGGTCGAAAAGTGTCATGGATAGTTGCTTTTCAATTATGAAACAGTAGCTGATAAGTAATCTCCCAAAGAAGAAAGGCAAGAAGCGTCCTCCAGAACAACATAAACAAAATCGCTCCCTCACAGTCACACCTCCCTGCGGTCTCTGTGCAACCCCTAGCTCACAAATCTCTCTATCACATCTCGCAGTAGTTGATATCATCCAGTGCAAAAAAAGAATACAAAAAAAAACAACAAAAACGCAGAGGAAAACCTCTTGGAAGGAA